TGTCGTCCATACCTCCCTTGCAGCCACCACCTGCTCACCACGTGGTAAGACTGCTGGGGGGTGGTGGGCGACTACTCCCAGTCTCTGTCGTGAGGAGCTCATGCAGGAGGAGACTAACACCTTCCCTAGGAAACACTCCAAGCTCAACTTCCTCACTGGCTGTGGGCAGGTGGACAGGTTAAGCCAGGTAAGGTGGTCAGGCCAGGTAAGGTGAGCAGGCCAGGTAAGGTGAGTAGGCCAAGTAAGTGATCAGGCCAGGTAAGTGATCAGGCCAGGTAGGTGATCAGGCCATGATTTGCCAGGTCGGTGGCTTCAGGTTGGTGTAAGGTGGTCAGGCCAGTAAGTGATCAGGTCGTGTAAGTGATTAGTTCCTCACAAAGCAATTATAACTCAGATATATCAAGGTCCACACCAACACACCCCAAACACACACCAACACACCCCAACACACCCCAACACATCCCAACACACACCATCACACCTCAACACACCCCAACCACACCCAAACCACACCCCAACACACCCCACACCCCAACACACCCCAACCACACCCCAAACACACCCTAACACACCCCAACACACACCAACCACACCCCAACACATCCCAACACACACCAACACACCCCAACACACCCCAACACACACCAACACACCCCAACACATCCCAACACACACCAACACACCCCAACACACACCCACACACCCCCAACACACCCCCAACCACAACCCAACACACCCCAACACACCCCAACACACCCCAACACACCCCAACACAACCCAACACACCCCAACACACCCCAACACACCCCAACACACAAGGCGTTAATTCCAGCCTATGTCTTCCTAACGCAACTCTTTTTTCTCCTATATCCATTTACAGGCAACAGAGAGATGAGCTGGACACTTTACCCGCTGACAGGTGTTGAAAAATGCGTGTCAGCTCATCGAGGCGCACCCGTCAGCGCACATGAACAATGTGTTCATCATATTAGTTTGAGCTATGAGTTACTGCTGACAGAAGACGGCCCATAAAACATCATACGAGAGTTTCGTAGTTATCGATTAAGATAAAATAAAAAATTTACATTATCCTGAGTCATAGATATTTAATGAGATGGAACAGAAGCGATATATATAGGTATTAAAATTGTAGAAGAAATATACGATTTTTTTTTTAATTTTGCGGAATCATCTGCGTATAAAGCCCTTAAGCACATGCATGGATCAAAACACGCATACAGACCAGAAAACACGTACAACAAAACGCAAAAACGACACTCAATCCTAAAACACGCACACAGATCATAAACACGGACACGAATCCTAAAAACACGCACACGAATCAGAAAACACGCACACGGACTCGCCAAACACCCCCTAATATTGGCCTGAATATTCAACTGAACCAGATTCTACATTAAGACTGGACAAAAAGATCAAAATATAAAGTACCTGTAGTATCTAAATTACCATAGGTGTCGTAACTAACCTGAAATCACCTTAGTATTGAGTCACGTCACATTCCCCTAAATATACAGTACATTTCATATGCCTTATTAACAGGCAGAGAGTCATAGGTGATTGTAAATAACGTGATTTTTAATTTCTTGAGATGTTTACAAACTCATGTATATTCTGTAGATAGTGATGTAAGAGAGAGAGAGAGAGAGAGAGAGAGAGAGAGAGAGCTGGCGGGTGGTAGGAGGAAATAATGTTGATTTTCCCAGGTAAACGGACTCATTTATACAGGTGTGACGCTAATAGGATAACGAGTACCAACTGAGCTAGATTGTGTGTGTGTGTGTGTGTGTGTGTGTGTGTGTGTGTGTGTGTGTGTGTGTTAGTCATTTAACCCAACACACGGTGGGATCTGAACATTTAAAAGCCACATTGATAAACATTCAAGTAATAGTTCCCAATTCAAAAGTTTCTGTGTTAGATCAAAATGAACAACAAAATGAAGAAAAATAATAATTATCTACAAAGTTGAAATAAATAACAAATGAAAAAAAAAATATTAACTAAAACCCGGTAGCTGATAAAGGTCAGGTGTGTTATCCAATTAGTGTACAGTAGGTAGTCTGATAACCACAAAGGAAAAAGAAAACACGAAGTTACAAAGATTTTTCGTGTAGTTCTTGTCTCAAAGGTTAGGTTAAAGAAAGAAGTAGCTAGCCACGACAAACCATCCAATCTGCACAATACCATTCTGTACAACACTATCACCCAACCCTCTGCCCCTAACCCAACCTAACCTCTGCCACCTAACCCAATCCCAACCTCTGCCACTAACCTAACCCAACCTCGCCACCAACCTAACCTAAACTTCAGCCACTAACCTAACTTCCATCCAACCTCTGCCACCAACCTAACCTAACCTCTGCCACTAACCTAACTTCAACCTCTGCCACTTCAACCCAACTCCAACCCCCTGCCACTCAACCCAACCCAAACACCGCCACCAACCCAATAACCCCTGCCACTAACCCAACCCAACCTCTGCCACCAACCCAACCTAACCTCTGCCACCAACCCAACCCCAACTCCGCCACTAACCCAACCCAACCTCTGCCACTAACCTAACCTAACCTCTGCCACCAACCTAACCTAACCTCTGCCACTAACCCATCCTAACCCTGCCACTAACCTAACCTAACCTCTGCCCCTAACCCAACTCTAACCTCTGCCACTAACCTAATCCCAACCTCTGCCACTAACCTAACCTAACCTCTGCCACTAACCTAACTCAACCTGCCAATAACCCAACCCAACTCCAACCAACCTAACCCAACCCCTGCCACACTAACCTAACCCAACCCCGCCACTAACCCAACCCAACCCCTGCCACAAACCCAACCCAACCACTAACCTAACCTAACCCCCTGCCACCAACCCAACCCAACCTCCGCCACCAACCCCTCCAACCACCAACCAACCCAACCCCGCCACCCAAACCCAACCCTGCCACCAATCCCCTCAAACCTAACCCAACCCCAACACTAACCCAACCCAACCTCTGCCACTAACCCAACCTCAACCTCTGCGCTCACCTAACACCCTACCGCTGCTCTGCCCGCAGAAGATAGAGATGGGAGGCAGCGGACGATGGCGTACTCAGCGGCGGGAAGTTAGTACACCCACTTAGCAGCCCGTAACCGTATGTTACAAACGAACTGACCAAGATTGAGATGGCCTCACACGAAACCCTGTCAGACATACAGGAAAGGAGACCACCTGGCCCTCCTTCCCCACACCAAGATCTGCCGGTGTGGTGGGTTTTTTTTTAAGTTTAAATTACAAGATATACATTATTTTTATTGATTCAATGTTATTCTGCGGCATTTAAAATATTTCATCCCGTTGTTTTGATATTCAAGTTCACATATACGTTCTTGTGCAGATGGTACTATTATTCACCGTAAAACAACGTAAATGAAGATATTAAAAATTATCAGTTATAGAAAAACTAAGCATTATAAACGCAAAACACATACCGGTATATAAGCACATAATGGTGTACCTGAGGATGGCCGGCCCAAGGGCCACCTTGGTGAATGTTTAAGGTGCAGTAGCCGTCGCCAACACAACAACCATCCCTGAGTTGCATGACCCAGTGTCATGAATAGTCCAAAACGAACACCACCAACCACGCCAAATCACCACCAAACACGATCCGCAACGATACAACATCCAGGTCCCTACCACGCTGCCTATAGCCACCCTTGCCCGGAATCGAACCCGTCCATTAGCTTGTTGAGAAGGACCACAAACACGCCACACAAAACATGCTGCCAGGGTTATGGCGCGAATTTTAGTAAACATAAGCAAATGGAGCAAGAAAATAAGGAAGTTCGCAATAGCGGCTGGGCTCGTGCATGCAGTTCTGCCCAGTTACCACCATCTCTATCATCCATGCAATTCCGTCCAGCCTCCCTTGAAATCCTTCTTAGACTACCATGTTGTTAAGAAATTCACCTGTCCACCACCCTATTTAAAACCAGTTCCTTCCCTCTCCTCCTTAAACCCAAAATTTATCCAACTTATCCGTTAAAGCCCGAGTCCCATCCCGTTTGATATAAGAAATTTTATTCATCACCTTATTATTCACCCACTTGAATACTTATCATAATTCCCGCACCGCATATGTGTGTGTCTCTTACAACAGAAGCCAGATGCTGCTGCAAAGTGGATGGCGCCGGAGAGTCTTCAGTTCATGCGCACCCAGAGTGATGTGGAGCCAGGCGTCCTGGAGATGGGCCACCCGCAGCGCCCACAGAGGTGTTTACTGCTTAGTGTGTGTGTGTGTGTGTGTGTGTGTGTGTGTGTGTGTGTGTGTGTGTCCATCCATCCACCATCCATCCATACATACATCCTTTCAAACACCTCTCTTTAAATACACCCCATCAGGTAACGAAAGTACAGGTATATATACATAATCAAGCCCCACTACATCTCATGTCAGAGACACAAGATAGATGAGACTCCAAACATGTTATTCTTGTAAAATACGGTGTGAGTCCATGTATATATATATATTATTGTTGTTAAAATGCACCTTCATAATTTATTTATTTCTTTTATTTTTAAAGTGATTAGTCGTTGGTTTACATTATTGGTTATAAAACAAAAATGGTGACATTGTGGTAGTGCTGGTGAGGTGATAGTGGTGGTGTGGCAACAGGTGGTGTGTGTGGTGCTGGTGAGGTGATAGTGTGGTGGTACAGGTGACAGTGTGGGTGAAAAGCTGGTGAGGTGATAGTGTGGTAGTGCTGGTGAGGATAGTGTGGTGTGTACAGGTAGGTAGTGCTGGCGAGTAGTGGTGGTACAGGTAGTGGTAGTGAAGAAAAGACGACTAAGAGATGGAGGTTATTCCTTGGACTACCATTAATTACCAACAACCATCCTGGTCCCAACCCAACCTAAAGTTAAACCCAACCCCCAACCTAACCCAATCAACCAAGTCACACGTAGTCTTCCCATCAGAACCGAACTAATGATTTAGTGATAGATCAGGAGAGGTGCCATGCTGAGCTGCCCGAACTGCCCTAAGCCAGAGAGGCCCTCTGCCATCATCAGTATTTGTTTATAGAGTCCTAGATCGATCTATCTATCTATCTATCTATCTATCCTGTCTATTTCTGTCTATTCTTGTCTATATCTATCCTGTCTGTCTGTCTGTCTGTCTGTCTGTCTATTATGCGAGCGTAAGACAGATGCTTCCATGGAAATTGATCTAAGATACCTATTTTAACCTAAAGCCAATCTTTACCAGGCATGGTTTGTTAGGTTAAGTTTTCTTTTTAGATTTGATCAATTTGGTTAATTTTATATTTCTGTTTATCACATTATCATATTGAGGAACTGTCTGTGCCTGTGTCCGTGTTAGATGAGTTTGTTTGATAATGACTATTGTGAAGATCTGTTTTAGGTACAGTCTGGAAGCAAATCATCGATTTTAGTGAGTCAGGAAGAACGCTGAACAACAAATCAGCGAAGGAACAAGAACAACAACAAAGACGAAGAAGAACAAGTCCAACAAGAAATCACTTCGATAATATTCTCCAGAGCAGAAAAATAAAGTATTTAACGCCATATACCCGAAATAAACACCCGAACACAACCCTCGTCGAATACAAACAGAACTAAAAATCCAAACCGAGTAATTACCATAATTAAATAAATAAAATAAACAAATAAATAAAGGGTACTAAATATTAATAACGAGAATATATTGCTTAGGTCAAGCAGCTGTGAATGGGGTAATTAGTTAAAAACCATCAAGAAGAACCGAGGATGATATCACTCATGTAATAATAATAATAACAACAACAAAAACAAAAACAAAAATAACCCAGTCTCAAGACTACAGTAAATACCATTATTTGCGAATAACTTCCGCTTTATTATTTCCATCCAAACTCTGAGGCGCAACTATTCTCATTAACCTGGTAACATAATGTATGTATGTACCCTGTATATATATATGATGTATATATGTATATATATGTATATTAAAACATCAGTTAAATGTGTTAGTAATGCATCTGTTTGTGTGTGTCTGGGTCCATGTGTATATGTTGTGATATTTACGTGAGGTAAAGCTTCTGTCTGTTCACAACTTGTCTGTCTGTCTGTCTGTCTGTCGGTAAGTTAATTCAATCTTTATATTATGGACCTTACGATTATTTCCTATGATAACTGGACACTGTTTTAGGTCAGGTTTATCCACCTCTAACACACACACACACACACACACACACACACACACACACACACTTCCTTTGTTTCACTTTACACAGGTGGGGGTGAGATCTCTACTACACCTGTCTCTACACAATATAATTTTCAGAACATTCTAACGTTTTCAATTGTCGTTCAGCTACCGAGTTGTGTCTTTTTCACTTTATCCTCCAGAACCAATAGTATTATTCTGGTTGTTTTGCTTTGTTGTTTTGTCTAAATAGTATTCCTGTGAAGATAATTTGCATACCGAAAAATTTCCACATTAAGCTTGTTTCACCTATAAAGATTGACCACCTAACTAACTAATACTAACCTAACCTATCTAATCCAACTAACGCTATTTCGGGGATGGGGTAGGGTAAAAATAAGGTAAAGGTAGGTATAAGAATTAGGAGTAAAAGTAGGAGTAAAGATAGGGTTGGGTTGGGTAGGGTTAGGGTAGGGTGGGAGTAGAGATGGGGTAGGGTAGGGAGTGGGTGTTAGGGTTAGGTAGGGTAGGGTAGGGTAGGGTTGGGTTTGGGTTGGGTAGGGTAGGGTAGGGGTGGGTAGGAGGGTTGGGTAGGGTTGGGTTGGGTGAGGGTTGGGTAGGGTAGGGTAGATGAGGGTAGGGTTGGGTAGGGTAGGGGTAGGTGGGTAGGGTGGGGTGGGAGTAGGGTTGGGTTGGATTGGGTAGGGTAGGAGTAGGGTGAGGGTAGGGTTGGGTTGGGGTGGGGTTGGGTGGGTAGGGTAGGGTAGGGTAGGGTAGGGTGGGGTTGGGTTAGTTGGGTGGGGTAGGGTAGGTGGGGTAGGGTGAGGTAGGGTTGGGTTGGGTAGGGTTGGGTGGGGTGGGGTATTACTAACATTATTACAACACCCGTGTAAAACTCTAAGGTAACTCCCACCCTTCTTTCATTAACTCCACCCTATTACCCCCAGGTTAGGTTAGGTTAGGTTGTAATTAGAGAAAATAATCTGTAATTAATAAAGCAAAATGTAATTAACAGACAGTCCAAGAACCTCCTCTCTCTCTCTCTCTCTCTCTCTCTCTCTCTCTCTCTCTCTCTCTCTCTCTCTCTCTCTCTCTCCTCACAGTACACTTCCGCCGACTACCAAAGGAGGTTTGAGAAATCTCCTTCTACCATCGACGGTCCAGCGACTATTCCAGGTGAGATAATTAGCCACATAACACCAGGTGAGATAATAATTGCCACAACACCAGGTGAGATAATTACCACACAACACCAGGTGAGATAATTACCACACAACACCAGGTGAGATATAATCTAACCTAACCTAACCTACCACGCCTCACCTAGTTATTCCAGGCTGCTGACAGGTTAGGTAAGGTTAGGTTAGGTTTTGTCTACACACGAAGAGCTTATCATCATGCTATTGAGTTAATGATGTGAAGCTTGTTGTGGTGAAGCTGTAACAACAATACGAGTAGTCTTAAGCTGTAACAACATCAGCTACGCGTTAGTCTAAGCTGTAACAATAACAATACGAGTAGTCTTAAGCTGTAACAACATCAGCTACGAGTAATTTTAAGCTTTAACAATAACAATAGAGCTAAGACGCGCATCTGCCATGAGAAACAAAAGAGCATAAACAGGTTTCCTCTGCAGGTACGTCAAAGCGCAGACAAGCGGCTTCGTGGCGGAGTTTGCGCAAGAGAGTAACTCTGATGACTCGGATGACCTGGCCCTCAGATCCTCCTCAGATATTAGTGATACAGGTAAGGTACACACACACACACACACACACACACACACACACACACACACACACACACACACAGACACACACACACACACACACACACACACTCACACAGACACACACAGGTGGACGAAGACTATAGTGAGTGTGTCAGAGATAAACACTTAACAGAAGTAAAACACACTCAACAGAGGTAAACACACTCAACAGTAAACACACTCAACAAGAGGTAAACACACTCAACAGTAAACACTCAACAGAGTAAACACACTAACAAGTAAACACACCATAACAGAGTAAACACACTTAACAAGTAAACACACTCAACAAGTAAACACACTCAACAGAGAGGTAAACACACTCCAACAAGTAAACACTTCAACAAGTAAACACACTCAACAGAAGTAAACACACTCAACAGAAGTAAACACACTCAACAGAGGTAAACACACTCAACAGAAGTAAACACACTCAACAGAAGTAAACACACTCAACAGAAGTAAACACACTCAACAGAAGTAAACACACTCAACAGAAGTAAACACACTCAACAGAGGTAAACACACTCAACAAGAAACACACTCAACAGAAGTAAACACACTCAACAGAGGTAAACACACTCAACAGAAGTAAACACACTCAACAGAGGTAAACACAAGCTCATCCTCGTCACTCTTTCAGACACTCTGGAGAAGGTGTTTGTCCGCCACAGAACCACACCTCATGGGAGCCCGAGATCTGGAAGGGCCTCCCCGAGACTGATCGGTACTTCACCAGGTTCAGGCAGGATCTCACCAAGACCGGGCACCACCACCTTCAAAGATAGGCTGTTAGACCCTGGTGACTGTGGTAGGTGGGGTGGGGTGACCCAGAAGCATCTCTACACTAACTTTGCCACGGACGATTCTTTCTTTGCTCACAGACTTCGTGTAGGTGGGTCGAGCCAAGGAGCTGTGGCACACAAAGTTATCGGACTGCCTACACTCCTGACGCCTCAAGACGAGCGTGAAGTCCGCTATGCCCAGTTACAGCTGAGTACTCCCAGCACCCCGGCTAGCGGTCCACGCACGCCGTCCAGTGTTCCACTCACACCCTCTAGCAACCCGCCGACACCATTACTCCATCCACACACAGGTCCTTCACCCATCTCCCCGGGCCTCCAACGCTCACTCTCTCCTCTCACAAGAACATCTCTCAAGCAGCCCGACCCTCACAGCTACCTCTCAGTCTAGTGTTAAGTCTCGAGCCTCTTCGCCTCAATCATCGCGTCCATTTTATTCTAACTTACACAGGTGTCTTTCTAAACTAGAGGGTAGAGGTACTCGGCAACCTCCATCACCTAACGAAGTCTCGAGCCTGACCATCAACAACCAGACACAAAGTAGTTCCTCAACAGAGACACCCACGTGCTTTTTTGGTGAAGATGACAAGAGTCCATCAACCACGACCGTAAGTGCCCCTTCATCTCCTTACATCAGGAAAAAGTGTCTCCAAGATCACTTAGAGTCAACAGTCAGTTCTCCACCCACTCCTTTCACTGTACATTTTGATTCCCAACATGACACAGACGAGACAGTCAGGGATCCTCTGTTAACGAAAGATTCACAAACTTCGCTACTCCATACTCCGCCCACTTCGAAACCATCCAAGACTGAAAACGCTTACGTCAACAGACAACACACATCTCAAGATCGAGTAAGTTTTTCCAATAATTTTTTCAGAAGGATCCAGAGGAGGTACGCTACCGTGTCCTTACCCACCTCTCGTACAGCAACACTAAAGAGAGGAGCTGCCACCTACGACACCAACAAAAGAAAAAACAGTTCTCCTGGCGACTTCGAGATGGTAAACTAAGATGAATCACCAGATGTTACCGTAATGGCTCACCTCTTACACTGTGCTGTGATCATCAGTAATAATATCATAAAGACTAGTGTATCGTCTGTGTACTGCTGAGATGATGAATCACCTGGTTTGTAAGGCTTCTCATGGTCAGTCCTCGTTCCACTAAAGGTCCTTCTACTACCCAAGGTCAAAGTTTAGGCTGCAGCAGATGTAGCCGTGTAGTGCCTTAACAAATTTCAAGCAGCTTTGGTTACAGATAGATCCTTCAATACGAACATCGAAACACATTTTCTTCACGACTCCTTAATGAATCAGAAAAACATGTTAATGGAACTACAGTATGTATACACTGATGGACCACACGGTGTACACTGAAATAAACAGACACAGTGTAGTTAGTCTTGTGTGTGTGTGTGTGTGTGTGTGTCCAAGTACTCAGATAATACACATTCTTTATGACACGGCTGGTGAGGTGAGGTGAAGTGAGGTGAAGTGAAGTGAAGTGAAGTGAGATGTTGACAATAACTTCGGCAAATTTACCGATATAATTCCCTACCTACAAGACATCATGATAGTCAAATATATATATTATTATTTATAAATGTAAATATTTATTCCAACTCTTGAGACGAACATTGTATAATATTTACTTTGCATGTGAATAATAATAATGTTGTTGGTGTGAACGACAGGAAATATAGTATATAATTTATAACATCTTCACATTCCGGCCAAGGTATAGATGTAAGTGTTCCTAGATGATCAGTTTTAAGTAACACCGTGTTGAGAGAGACAAAAGTGTGTTGTTGTGTTACAGTGTGTGTGTGTGTGTGTTTAGTTACCCGCACCCAATACTTATGTTTTATTTCGGGGTCCGGACAAAATCCCCCTGGACAAACCCTCCCAGTTAAAATTAGTGCAAAATAGGTTAGGTTAGGTTAGGTTACGTTACGTTAGGTTAGGTTAGGTTTGCAGTGATATAATAAATGTAATATTTTCCATGTCCGAGAAGTATTCATCAACTGTAAATAATAAAAAAAAATAAAAATATTGCATTAAAAATAAATTCTTATTATTATTTGTCCTGGGAAGCTTTTGTTCTGCACTCGATTTATTTCCGTCTAAAATTGTAAATAAACAATGAAAATATTTATTAGTTTCAGATTGTTGACAAATTGTGAGTCCGACACTTAATGAAAAGACTGTTACCTCCCACTTACTACACACACACACACACACACACACACAGGTCAGCTTATGTCCCAGTAGGTGTCAAGGGGGGAAACATCACAGCATCAGGGAGAAGAACATCACAGGATCAGGGGAAGAACATCACAGGATCAGGGGAAAGAACTCACAGGATCAGGGGAAGAACATCACAGGATCAGGGAGAAAGAACATACATGAACAGGGAAGAACACCACGGATCAGGGGAAGAACATCACAGGATCAGGGAAGAACATCACAGGATCAGGGAGAAGAACATCACAGGATCAGGGGAAGAACATCACAGGGTCAAGGGAAGAACATCACAGGATCAGGAGAAGAACATCACAGGAACAGGGAAGAACACACAGGATCAGGGGAAGAACATCACAGGATCGGAAGAACATCACAGGATCAGGGGAAGAACATCACAGGGTCAGGGGGAAGAACATCACAGGATCAGGAGAAAGAACATCACAGGAACAGGGGAAGAAGAACACCACAGGATCAGGGGAAGAACAACATCACAGGATCAGGGAGAAGAACATCACAGGATCAGGGAGAAGAACTTCGATATTGATGTTTTTTTTAAATGCTAATGGGTAACTCTGCGACACATAAGGAAATATTGGTAAGTTACCTCTTAGTGGACTAATAATATAGAGAAGATAAATCAATGTCTAAAAATATTATTGGAAAGACTTATAAAAGTTTTAGTATTATCATTGATGTCTAAACTTTATGGGATTTTGTGGTTTTTGCATCGTATGAAAATTTGTTACGTGTGTATGTGTGTGTGTGTGTGTGTGTGTGTGTGTGTGTGTGTGTGTGTGTGTGTGTGTGTGTATGTGTGTGTGTGTGTGTGTGTCAGGCAACTAAGTAACTCTCTCTCTCTCTGCCACCAACACACGGACCCGATCTATCTGACCACACCCGAAACATTCCTCGATCTATAAGAAAATAGACAAATCGTCTTTCTCTGTTCCTCTGTGTATATTATTGGAACACTAGCGAGGTATTCTGAGGGTCATGATAACTCTACAGAAAATACAATAACATAGAGATTTTTAATGATATGGATCATAACATTACAAATACGATAAGAAATGGAGGTGTTCGTAATATATGGGGGCGAGTCAAACAAATGAAATCACCAAAAATAACTAACAAAATGATAAAATAACTCACTCAAAAATAAATTACACGTGAATAAATGTATAAGAAATGACAATAACAAACTCAATAACGGTGCAAGGCAGATATAGGTTATTCATTAAATTCAAATGACTGTATAATCACGTGTATACCTGGAGATTGAAAAATATTAATTAAGCGAAGACCCAATTAACGAAAAGCAGGTGGTAGTGGAGATAATGAAGAGAAGAGAGAAAAAAAAGTTTGGGTATGAGATTGTGAACGTGTAGTAAGGTCATTATATAGTGTCCAGGAAAAAAGTCCGGGGAAAAAAGTCACGGGAAATATGTCACAGGAATAAAAAGGTCAGAGGAATAAAAGGTCAGAGGAATAAAAGGTCAGAGGAATAAAAGGTCAAAGGAATAAAAGGTAACGGGAAAAAAGTCACAGGAAGAAATGACAAGAAAATTCAGAGGAAAAAAGTCAAGAGGAACAATGTAACAGGAAAAAGTCAAAGGAATAAAAGGTCAGAGAAAAAAATACGGGAAAAATGTAACCGGAAAAAAGTCACAGGGAAAAAATGCCACGGGCGGACATTACACAACGGACTACACACTACAGTAAACACACAGTACGGACACTACTGGTTGTTGGTTAGGTTGGTTGGTTATATGGTTAGGTTATGGTTAGGTTAGGTTAGGTTATAGTTACAGTAGGTTAGGTTTAGGTTAGGGAGAGCAGGTATAGGGTGATTGGACGACCCACACTTAAGGAAAAACAGTCCATCCTAATATGGTGTCAAAATTGCATTGAGACTTGACATTAAAATTAACCCGCAAACCACTGAGAATCCAACAGGTTCTAAGTCTCCTAGCGGTTAATGGCGTCTCCTAGAACTTATTTATCAGCGGTTGATGGCGTCTCCTAGAACATTATCAGCGGTTAATGGTGTCTCCAATAACATTGCGAGTGGTTAATGGCGTAAAAAACAACAGACAAACATACAATACCCATATCCACCCACTCCAAACACCAACACACTCTACTTAACTCCCACACACATAACACCCACACACCCCACATAACACCCACACACCCAGCCCCACAGTCAAGGACCCGCCACTTCCCGGCTGTCACCACCCTCTTCATATCCCGACTTAAATCATCTGTTAAACAAATTTCGTAAATTTCATAACAATTTAAAACAGTTTTAGTCATCACGTCAAAATGTGTCATTTTGTCCCTGTCTCCTGGCCGTGGGGGTCGGAGCCCGTGACTCCCTGGCCTCCGGATCTAATCCCATTGATACGGGAGAGTGGACCGACCTCGGGGGTTTCGTCTCTGAAGGTGGAGGGCCTGAAGAGGTCCAACACGAGCCTCGTGACCTACAGGGCCTTGGGCGGAAAATAGAGGATTGCTGACTTAAGGAACAAGTCCCTGGCCGAGATACAGGTTTATTCTGATGGTGATAAGTCTCGTTGTATACAATTGGTCCTTGTCCGCCAGAAGGAGACCCTGAGGGTCATCCAGGTGCCCGGTATCGTGTCTCACAGGGCATCATGCACACCCTCTTCCCCAGAAAATTTATTGCTGCGAAAAAATCTGTATATCGGGGAGGACCAAGACACTCTGTTAAGTCAAGTGAGAAGACTCCCACGGCTAGCAAATCCCCAGGTATATTCATAAAGGTAAAAACATAATAATTGCGATGACATCTTTGCTGTTACTCATGAAAATGATTTGTTCAGGAAAGTTTATTTTAGATCTGGTTTTCATCTTATGTTCTTTTTTTACGTAAAAACTTTGACAAGAAATATTGACAAATAGTGGTGCACACATTTAGACCCGTGAAGATGAAACACAATACCAACTAAATTAACATAGCGAAAAACAACTGAAGAAGGTTAATTTAGGTCAGCCATCGTACTCCACATTTCAAATTCGTTTTACCAAGAATCCAAGTATGAACCCGTCCAGTCTATCTCAAATTAAGGGGGGAAAAGTTTCATACAAATATTTCTGTAAATATATGTATGGCTGGGAGAGACAGAGACAAGAGACGTACTGATGGGAGAGACACAGAGACAAGAGACGTACTGCTGGGAGTGAGAGAGACAAGAGACGTACAGCTGGGAGAGACAGAGAGACAAAAGACGTACTGCTGGGAGAGACAGAGAGACACCAACAAGAGAAACACACACACACACACACACACACACGGTACCGGAGCTTTTGTAAATATTCAGGGTGTGTGTGTGTGTATGTGTGTGTGTGTGTGTGTGTGTGTGTGTGTGTGTGTGTGTGTGTGGTGTGTGCATGCTGAACTTACAAAACTTTCACCTTCGGAAAGTTTGACACTAAATCTTTCTCTTTTTTGTAGTTTATTTGTCTAAAAAATATATCTAAGTAATCTATCTAACGTTGAATTTATTATTATGTACATTTTGATGGATATGTATGTATGTATGTATGTATGTCAATATATGTGTGTGGGTGTGTACAAATGGGTATCTACATCTGTGTGTATGTATAAACACCCACCTACACACACACACACACTCACACACCCACACACACACACACATCAACATACAGACTCGCTGATGTATTTCTCTTAAGGTAATAGCAGAGGAAGGAAGGAAGGAAGGAAGGTAGGAAGGTAACTCTCCCTCTCCCGTGTTTATTCCCTTTTCCAACACATATTGTTCCATTTTTTTAGAATAAACTTTTAGTGGCTGTATTTTCTCATTGTTTATAGTGTAACCTCACAATATCACCTCACAATATCACCTCACAATATCACCTTGCAGACTTGGAAAACTGGATATAAGAGAGGCAATATAACTCATATGAAAAGTGTGGCGCATCTGTGAGAATGTTGTCCTGTCTCTCTCTCTCTCTCTCTCTCTCTCTCTGTGTCGTCAAGAAAGGGAGAAAGTGCCCATTAAGATAATCAGGTTCCATCATTAAGACCAACCATCAAAGGTTGGGTTAATGTCTTCCATCATATAATTAGCAAAGGTTTTCCTGAGTTCGATTTTTTCTCACTAATTGGGAGGTGTTAAGACGACGCTTCCACCTGACTGACTCACTGAAGTCATGTTGAAGTGTGAGACTGACTTGAAGAATGTTCTCTCTCTCTCTCTCTCTCTCTCTCTTGTATATCAGGGCGAGTTTCTTTACATAACACGCACACGCACACGCAACACACACAACACAGAGTTAAGGAAAAATTCTATGGATTCAAATCTTTGACTAAAGGATGCGAATCTTTAACACCCCCAGACCTCTCGCCTGTTAATATATAAAAAAACAGCTTAATTAACCAAATCACCTGAAGAATCTCCATCCCAGCTTATTTCACCTCAAGATTAACCTAACCTAACCTCATCCCCCAAAACAGTATTAGGGTGGTTAATGTTTAGGTGAAATAAGCTGGGGGTTATTCTTCAGGAGATCCTATAGGTCTTATAAATAGTGTGTGTAGGAGTCACGGGTGAGGTAGGAGTTATGTCGCTTTCTGTTTAATAAAAT